GTACATGTGTGAATCATCATCGTATTGATTCAGGTCAAAAGAGAAGGCAGTCTCCTCTCTTTCAACTTCGGGATCACCATCACTGACTTGTGTAACCTCAACTGATGTAAAATTGTAGTTACCTTCTGCTATGTGTCCTACACAAACACCCAAGTTATCATTAAATGCCACATTGCAATGAAAATTCATTATAAATGTCAACAAAAAGAGAGGAAATGAAAATCCATTAAACCCAGTAACTCATCATCATAGAGATCACCTAGCTTAATTATCATAGAGTGGAAAAGGCTTAGTCTGGAACTTACTTATTTCTGGCCACGACTGCATATAAAACAAATGATTTATCAAACTTAGATTACTCGAAAACAAAATTGATTACAAAAGAAGTATGGAATACAAGAAGTTACAAAGACATGCACTAAACTAGAACTTACGGTCATCAAGTTCTGCCAAAGGTGTGGGTCGGCATCTATCATGTGTGTATGATAATTCCAGCTGACATCGCTTTGTTTTCGGGCATCCTTGAGAAGTCTGCATTCACCCTTTAACTCTTTCTGCTTCTCTTGATTTATTGTTTTGTGAAATTTGTATGGCCATATCCATCACTAATATATAATCTGCACCGCACTGCCATCACCATCAGCATCAGATCATCACAAACAAGCACTACTGATACTACTATATATCTCTAGTTAGGTAGGCAGATCGACCGCGAGATCAACATCAGTCACCAGGAGGGGGCGAACTTGGTTTAGAATCTGCCAATTTATCCTCCTAGATGCATCAGACCATCACCAGCACAAATTTATGGCAATCTCGTGGGCTAGTGTTAGGGTATAAGAGGGGCTAGAAGAGGACGGCGTCCTTGGCGAGCTAGCCAGGTAGGGTTAGGGTCCATGTGGAGCTGGGGCTAGGATACGTCGTTCTTGGCGTGCTCGCCGGTGAGGACAAGGCGGACAGAGGGCGTGCGGGAGGTGGCCGCCATGTCGAAGACTTGCCTCCTGGGAGAGGAGGGGGAGGGAGGGGCAGCGATGACTTACCACTGGGGAGAAGTCCGGTGTGCCGAAGGAGATCGCTGGCGTCGGGCGGCGCGACGTCTTAGGGAGGAGTCGGCGGCGGCGTCTTGGCGAGGAGTTGGGCGGCCAAATCCTCGAGGCCCCCCTCGAGGGTTCTGAAGCGCGTGGGAAGAAGTGGATAGAAGGGGAATGGGTTTGGCCCATGTAACGGATTGTCGAGGCTTTGCGAGGATTCTGGGCCTCGGGAGGTTAATCCTCTAATAAAAACACCTGCGACCCACGCGAAACAAACGAGGCCTTACGAATATGGTTATTTCTCCTAACTCAGGTCCCACCTCCTACTTTCCCGCCACAAACCCACCACTTCCCCTCTCGTGCTCTTCGACCACCAACAATCATTGAATTGTTGCCCGACCACTCTGATCTTGGGTCGCCGTCGCCGGTGTCCCTACCTCATGGCCTCGCCTCCGAAAGAAATAACCGAAGGCACCACTAAACCCCTTAGAGGTGACCATCCTATCGATGTTGCTAGCTAGCGATGTCACCCGAGTCATCGCCCTTGCTCCCCCTCCAACGACATTTATCTTTCCCCGTTATAGATTTTAGATTGACCACATTTCGTTTTTGCAGCTATTACAAACTTTACCACAAAGCACTATCCTTTTCTATGACACGTATTAATTACTAGTATTAGCTTTTTTACAGCGTTTTAATAATAATAATAATAATAATAATACCCCTCCAAAGAGTGCAGCTGGTCCATTGCTGACATGGCACACCCATCTCTTCCAAAACACCCTATCGCCCCCCTGCCTTGAGCTGCCATCCGATGAACCAGCAAAACCGTGGACGAGCACCGCCGGTATTCTGCTCCCGAATTCCACAGATTTCCACTCCCCACTCCCAAAGTCCCGATACTTTATAGCCGGCGACAACAAACCCAGCAAAATCCCATCTCTCAACCCAGTGAATCTGCTTCCCCTTTCCCTTGTCTGAGATCTCAGCCCGAGCCTGCACGCCGCAACTTCCACCGAAATCCTCCCCTCCTAGCCGCAGCGTCGCCGGATTGATTCAGAAGGTGGTATATCTGGATTGGATTCTTTCATTTATTTCTTGGTTCTTGTCGTGTTCTTGCTCGGAAAGATAGGATCTTGCCGCCGCTGGGCCGTCCCTGATTCCTCGGTGGTTCCTGTTTTTGCAGGCATTCTTGGTGGCCGGAGAAGCAGTCTTTGGTCCTCTGCTCGAGGTAATGGCAGCGGATAAGATTTGCTTTGGATGCGGGGGGGTGTTATTTTAGACTATAAATACAGTATAAAGGCACAGCGCTCTGGCTTTGTGTTATCTTGTCTAGCTTATTTTAACTGAGAAAGTAAAGGGGATCTAAATCAATGTTACCATGCTCTGCATTAACTACTACTAGTAGCATATTTTGTTTCAGTACAGCAAAGTTTAATGGAGTGCGAACTGCTAAGTGTTCTATTTAGGTCGAAACTCTTTGTTTTGTGGGCTGTTGCCCCCATTACTGTATTCAGTGAATAATGTGATTGTTTAGCAGTTGATGGCCTCCTTTTTTACTTTGTTTTCCTGTTATAATGTGATTTGATTTCTCACCATTTCAACTGATTGATTCCATGCAAGCCATTTAACTTTGCACTGTGAATTTGTAGCTTGCTTCTTCCTTTAAAATTTCTCAATTTACATTGACCCGTTGCAATGAGGAAAAACATACTGGATATCTATTGGGAGGGAGAGGTTGTTGCTTGTTTGTGCAAGTTTGATTTCTGCTGTAAAATGCTTAATTTAAACTGTTATTTCCTTTCATGCATGTTATCTACAAAAAAAATCTCAGTTATATGCAGGAGTGGTTAATTAGATACTCAAGTACATGCCATATGTGTGAATCGTTGGTTATATATGCATACTGCCCTAATTCTTGTTATTTGGATTTGCTGACAGAAGAATATAACTGTTATTCAGATCATCATCAAACATGTCGCTGCTATCGAAGTTACGGTTGGTCACTGTGGATGTGACTGGTACTCTGCTTGCTTACAAAGGACGGCTTGGTGATTACTACTGCATGGCTGCTAAGGCTGCCGGAAAGCCATGCCCTGATTATGATCGAATGCATGAAGGCTTCAAGCTTGCATACACTGAGATGGCAAGGAAATACCCATGCTTTGGATTTGCGGCAAAGATGCCAACGATCGAATGGTGGAGGATTTGCGTTAAGGATTCATTTGTTAAGGTAAAGCCGTTTTGCAGATATGGAATTTTTTTCAGGAATTAGTGTTGACCTTTTCATTTTCCTAGTTATCTGATTGCTCAATTTATACTACAGGCTGGCTATGATTACGATGATGAGACATTTGAGAAAGTGTTCAAGCGTATTTATTCTGCCTTCGGCTCCTCTGCGCCATACTCAGTGTTTCCTGATGCACAGCCCTTCATGAGAGGGCTGAGGGAGAAGGGTATCACAGTTGGCATCGTCAGCAATGCAGAGTACCGTTACAAAGAGGTCATCTTGCCTGCGTTAGGGCTGAATCAGGTTTGATAACATTAGAGACGACAGTCACAACCTTTTCAGCCATTTGTCGTCTTATAAAAGCAGTCACCTGATGCATGTCTTAGCTGTGCATCTAGGGCTCGGAGTGGGACTTCGGGGTGTTCTCAGGCATCGTCGGCGTCGAGAAGCCCGACCCAACGATCTACAAGATCGCGCTAGAGATGGCGGGGAACGTCGCACCAGAAGAGGCGCTCCACATTGGCGACAGCTACCGCAAGGACTATGTCCCCGCACGAAGCATCGGGATGCACGCGCTGCTCCTGGACCGGTTCAAGACCGCCGAAGCCGAGAGCTGGAGGAAGTCTGGCGCACCGGTCCTCCCTGACCTCGAGGCCGCGCAGGCATGGCTCACCAAGAACCCGACCTAGGAACCCGCTGAGGAGCCACTAGGGGCCGCGCTGCTGCGCAGGATGGCCGAGAAGCTCTGAATCTCGCCCCTGGGATAGTTCCTGTTGTGCTCTTGCTGGGCAGTGAGGGAGCCAAGGAGAAGGGATGTGTTGTAGTGATGGTTCACTGGCCTGTTTAGCTAGCTGGAGCTACTTGAACTCTGGTAGTAGCTTCGGGTACTGTTGCTGACTGCTGAATGTGGCAAGTGATTCAGTCGTGCGACGAACATCTTGCAACGACGAATAATTCTAATCATGTTTTGCATAATGGAGATATTTAACATGGTTCTGCATCGCGTATGAGGTTGATAGGATTGCAATGTTGGGGGCATTTTGAAACTCACAAGATGAATGTGATATCTCAGCAGAAGCCTACTGTGTGGGCACAGTGGGTAGAAAGCCCTCTGGTTGCTCTCCCTGGTTCTGTTGTTTGGGTCCCACTGTCAGCCACCAGGGCGCCATCCGGCGATAGTTTGGTGAGTAAAGATTGGCTAAAGGCACCTTCAGTGTTTTTGCCAGTGTCAATCACCTCGCCATCAACTGGAAAGGCGCCTTGGCAAGTGAAGAGATCATCTGGGAGAAAATTTCCATTCTCGCCAGGTGAGACCACCAACAGATGGGGTAATTCTGTCGAGTATTCCCTCAAAAAGGGGCAAAATGTCTGAGTATTTGGTATGTGGATAATAGTAGTTTGTCCAAGTATTCTCCGCCTTTCGTTACATTTCAGAAAATCTATTGTGGCAAGATTGGCTGGATGGATGTGTAGTGTGCATTCCTTTTTGAAATTTCCAGTGCTGCTAATTGTCCCGGGTTGCTGGGTAGAGAGAATTCCATGAAATGAAAACCACTACGACAAATATGAAAGCAAAAAACTTGCTGCCCCAATGGTAAGAGACAACGGCGCAGCAAGGCGTGCATATCCTTCTAGTTCTACACAACTTCTAAATTTTACATCAGCGCCACAAGGTAATAGGGGTACGCTTCTCTCTTTCTTCAGGAAAACAGAGATTTATTAATCATGGTGATCTAGTTCTACTCCAGGAGAGGCTTGGTTACATCTGCGCCGCCCCACTTTCGCACACGGCTTGAAGCCAGCGCAGCCTGCAGTTTTAGGGCATGAGAGATGAGCATTTTCCATATAAACAACATTTACATACTTACAACATATCCGAAATCAAACAAAGGTGAGAAGGAATTTTATACCTCTGCGTTCCAATCCGTTCTCCACACTATGAAGATTAAGATCAGTGTCTGAAGTGCAATCCCGCAAAGCATGCCGGCCCAAATCCCCTGAAATCACAACCAACGCCACAAAATTCATAACCGAAAATATCGAAGAATCATACCACAAATACCCTCCTTCATTTTAATTTTTGCAATTTTGCGGTACTGTTTAAATAGCATAGCCAATTACCCCAACTCCATAGTTGAACTTGTAGCCGAGGAGATATCCCAGGGGCAACCCGAAGATGTAGTAGCAGCCGAGGTTGATGTATGCGACAAGGCCCTGCCACCCTCCTCCAATGGCGACCCCTGAATGAGAGGAATATTGAGGCGACATGAACAAAATGAAACTAGCAATGGTGTGAGAGGGAGGGAGGAAGCATGCCTGAAAGCACGGGCTGCACGCTGTTGAGGACCATGGTGAGGCCAAGCAGCCCCGCGATCCTGGAGACGGCGTGCTGGAGCTCCGAGTCGGTGGTATAGATGATGGAGAAGCTGTCTCTGAAGATGAGCACGAGGGCCATGCAGAGCAGCCCGATTAGCAGCGACTCGCCGACGACGACCATGACCGCGTGCTTCGCCGCCCTTGGCCGGCCGGAGCCCAGCTCGTTGGAGACTCGAACGCTGATGGCCGCGTTGAGGCCGATGAAGATCATGCCCTCCCATCCGTTCACATTCATGCTGCAAAGCCACAAATGTTGTTCTGTCAGTTAGTTCAGAATGTTGTCAGGTTGTAATGAGTTTTGGTAACAAGTACTAGTAGTACCAGATGCCGAGGGAGTCGACGGCGATCTGGGCGTCCTGGAGGTGGCCGGTGAGGACGGTGATCATGCCGATGTACCAGATCTCGAGGCAGAGCATGACGGCGGACTCGAGCGAGAGCCTGACGAAGGCCCACATGTCGCTGAACGCGGCCACGGACCAGCCCCGCCAGCCGTCCCGGCACCAGCCGACGATGTAGGCGGCCTGGGCGAGCGCGATGGCCCAGAGCGAGACGTCGTAGGCGGCGGCGGCGCCGGGGAGGCCCCAGCCGAGGACGGCGACGAGGAGGTAGGTGAGCGCGGCGTGGAAGCCGAGCCCGGCCACGCCGACCCAGGCCAGCACCAGCACCTTGCTCTGCGCCTGCAGGAACTTGGCGGTGGGGAAGTTTACGGCGAAGGAGAGCGCGCCGGGCAGGATGCGGAGCGCGAACCGGGCCGCCTCGCGCGCCACGGCGGCGTCCTGGCCGATGGCGAGGAGGAGAGGCTCGGCGAGGGCGTAGAAGGGCACCATGAGGAGGGAGGCGGCGATGAGCACGATCCAGGAGCGCTGCAGATAGACGCCCAGCATCGCCACCTGGCCGGCGCCGAACGCCTGCCCGCACAGCGTCTCCAGCGCGCTCCCCATGCCCAGCTGCATGCCATGCACGCGACGTGTTCGTTAGTAATGGCGGGTGTGAGAGAGTGAGTGAGTGCCGGGGAGGGAGGAGAGGAGATGGGTGCGTACGAGGAACCCGAAGGAGAAGGTGGAGAAGACGGAGAGGCCGATGGAGGCGGCGGCGAGGGGCAGGTTGCCGAGGTGGCCGACGAAGACGGTGGTGACTGAGCTGACGGCGAAGAGGCTGAGCGTGGCGATGGCGATGGGCGTGCCGATGCCCCAGAGGCGCCGGGACTCCTCCCAGACCATCCGCGCCGCCTCCCCCGCGGTGCGCACCGCCGCCGCGTCGCCGTCGCCGCCGCCGGTCCCCATCCTCGATCGGCCGGCTTGCTGATGCAGCAGCTGTCACCGGTCTGCCTCCGCCCTCGGCTATCAATCCAGGTATCTATACTCCACGCTCCGGGGAGGGAGCGGAGGGCGGCCGCCGGTAGGTAGGTGGCAGCTACCCGCGCGCGCGCTCGAGAGAGTACCTACCCGTTGCGCGCGCGTGCCTGCACGCCCGTTTGTCGAGACGTCGAACAAATTCTTCTGCCGATTCATCACCAGACCGGTTCCTCCTCCCAGGCTCCAGTCGTGGTGCATTCGGTAGTGTCCGCGGTGCGCCGGGGCTCCCGCGGTGGCAGGCTACTGTGGGTGGTCAGATCTGAGGCTTTGAAGGTGGTCTGGCCGATGCACAAGATGTCGCAGGGGTTCTCGTGGGACAAGATCCGGGTGAAAACCTTGTCTTCTGCTGACGGCCGGAGCCGGTGATGGTGACGCCCCATGCGTTGTTTCCTTCTTGAAGGCATCATCGAGGTGAAGCTCCCACCTCCTTCCGCTACCTCCGGAGAAAACCCTTATCAATCGGTCGGATGATGGCGGCACTCATGTGTTGTTTCCCATTGGGGGCATCATTCTTGAAGAGGTTCATCGGCTAGAGGGACCAGTGAACTACTACAGCAGCGGAGTGGCGTGGCATCTGACGCGTCGACAACGGCGGGTGTCGACGGCATGGGGTAGCGGGGTCTGGGTGATGGTCGCATGTTAATGGACGCACGCAAAATGGTGGCACTGTCTGGCGTCGTGATGGCGTCAACGGGAGTTGGGCCTGGCAAGGCATGTGCATTGATCTCTCTTGAAGATTGGATGGCATAAGATGGCAGCGGCGGATTCTTCAGCGTGCGCATGCAATGTGTGCTGAGGGTTTGCTACACCGGTTGGTATGCGATGTGTGCTGAGAGTCTGCTACACCGGTTGATGCTCTCGGCTCCTGGCAGCCTGGGATGGCCACCGGATTAGATGGTGTGCGTGGATACGACACTCCATGAGACTTGTAGGTGTAGCGATTGGGGTCGCAAGAAAGGTGGCTTTTGGTTAATCCATGTATCTAATTTGACGGACTCCGTTGAATAAACTTTATGAGACTTGTAGGTGGAGCAATTGAGGTCGACAGAAAGGTGGCTTTTGGTTGATACTCCATTGAATAATTAATGAAGATGGCTATCGATGCAAAGGGCGGAGGTAATCCTCCTTTTCAAAAATAATATGTTCATCTCTTGAGCGGCATCTCGAAGTCTGCTGAAAATTGAATCGATGCAGCTCGTGAAGAGCTTCTCTTTGGATATAGACTACTCCTACTTCATTGTTACCCCGATTAAAGAATACCAGTACTTCATTGTTACCCCGAAAGAAGTTACAGCAAATCTGTTTTCAGACTTCACCAGGTTATCGGAAAATGCAACTTTGGTGTCCCAAGGGATGCACAGCACTGTATGGAAACTCATAGGGTCAATAAACTATTACAGTACATTACAGGATGGTTAATAAATCCATACCACGAAACAAGAAACTTGATACTCCCTCCGATCCAAAATAAGTGTCGCAGTTTCGAACTGGGACTAGTTCAAAACTGCAACACTTATTATGGATCAGAGGTAGCAATACAATCCGTAGTGGTACTCAACAACAAAGATCGGCTGCTGTATGCATGCCCCCTAGCACAACAAACAAAAGAAATAGAAGAACATAGATAGATCCGTTTGTTAAAATGTACACACAGGTGGTCTAGAGCTACTGGGAATCTCAGGTATCATTTAGGGCATGATGATACATTTCACGTAGTCGAGGCGGGCATCAATTGCACGCCATATCAAGTTCGGAAACACCCTTAGCGACCTGCGGGGTGCCTGTTCCAGGACAGGTAGTTGTGATCTCCCAGTTTCCTGCAAAAAGGCCATAATTTAGATCGTTAAGAAGGCTCTCATTCAGATAGGACAACAGAAGAAATACTGGTTAGTTACATTACAACAATTTACACTGACTCTGGTGGTTCTGTGTCAAGATTGTCCTGTAGTGCTTGTGATAGCTTGATCATGTCCGCACATGTATGACAAAGTATGAGCTGGTATGGATGCAGCACTCATGGTAGACTACCAGGGTAAACCAACTAATTCTATATACCTATACTTATATACTATATAGTGTACCAGTTTTGAATTGGACCTATAGATCAATGCTAACCATTGGTCTGCTAAATCTAACGGATGCGAGCAGTTCGATTTGCCGTGAGCAGTAAAACGTGGATGTCTCCATCCTATTCTAGAACCACTTAATTTCTGCATTTGTATAATGACATTTGTGATTTTTTTAACCAAAACCACTCTGTAATTTAAGACGTGCAATGCACGTGTATGCATACTAGTAGTAGCATAAAAGGCCAAAGTAAATGGGAGCAGCTGGTTGTCCTTTGCCTGGTCGGCTGGCCCTACTGACATTGGCAAAAATATATATGCTTCTACCCAAAATCTCTTTCAACAAAAAGAACAAATCATGAACTATGCTCATACAAGGATACAACCCAATGCCATCCTAATCTTACCAAGACTAGGAGAGTCAAGATGAAATAGAGTACATCATCCATAGTCAGGAGGATGTCAGTATACATGGACGGATCACTCTGCCCCAACTAACCTTAAGTAACTGCCATACTATCTATGCCATGGCGACCAAAATAGTTGCCACGGGCCACAGCCCACAAGTGTGGCTAATTTAGGCAAAAAGGAGGCTAAGAAAGTGTGGCAAGTCACAAGTGCAAAAAGGAATCAAACACTTCACAAAAAAAGAGAGGTAAAACTGACAATTCTAGGGGTTGTTATGTTACATATCGAACCAAACACTCCCAAAATCCAGCAGATTAGATGCAGGCATAGCATTACTGCTCCAAATGTAGCATTAGGTGGACAAGCATCTCAACAAAGCTAAATGCATGTCTCACGCATGGCTTACAAACACAAAAGGTACACATCAGCAGTGGCACATTTTCATTTAACTGTAATGGACCTGAGTTCAAAAGCTACTAACCTTGGCTTTATCAAGTATAGCAAGGTGAATGCAAATGCCAAGAAAATACAGAGTCCACCAACTATAAGGTACGCAAATCCAAGAAAATCATTCTTTCCTCCCAGCCAGGTTGCAGTGGAAAGGACCAACTTCTTCTTGCCACCGAAGCTATATGTATTGTAGTTGTTACTCAGCCTCACTATTATGGTATCATTCGCCTTGAGATCAACGTATATCCTCCCATATAACTTTCTGAATGTAGGAAGCGCTGCAGTCCGCATCCAAACAATAAGATCCTCCTGTTCGCTCAGCTGCCACATAGAAAGAGAACAGACATGAATAACTTTTACAGGTATTCAATACCCAGAGAAACTTCTTTTATCCAAGTCAAAGAACTCAAACGAACCATTGTTGCAAATTAAAATGTTGAGGCTATATATAGTAAGTGAACAATTGTAGCCTACATATATATGGAACACAGTACAGATTAAGAATTTGCATACCGGGATACTTGAGTTAAGCTTCTTTCCACCTATGAGCGCACCATTCTGGAAGTTGCTTGGGTAGACATTGTTGGCAAATTTGTGCTCCCTATCACTTTTCCAGGAGATGTCCTTCTTGTCTACTGTCAAGTTGTCTTTACCACGAGTGAAGCTATATGTGTCATTAAACAAACTCCAAGCAATCAGACCACAAGGAACAATTGGTTTTCCATCAGCCGTGAACCTCTCAGGGTCACATGAGGTTGTCGTATTTGACTTCTTGTAATCTCTTAGCTGTGCATCATTTCGGCTCTTCACATACCTGAAATTGGAAATTTTGTAGTACATGTTAAGCCCCCAACACATGCTATTCGTAGCAATATGGTAACCAAATTATCAGTTAATCTGCTATGTAGTATGCCTTTTTTATTTTGATTGTACAAAATCGACTTGCAGTTTGCAGAGAAACATGAAAATGGATAGCTGTGAAGTTGCTCCAGAAGTTATGGACTGAAAACATCAAATAAGACTATACCTCCTATGATTCTGATAGAAGTTATCAAGCTGGTAGTACACATAAATTGGCTGTTTCATCTCCTTTGTAACCTGCACGGTAGCAACCAGATCTCATTTTAGCTAAGAGACTGATAGAAGGTGCTTGCTTTTAGCTGGACACGCAACACAATTCTATTCACTTGAAATATTTATACTGTAAGATAATCGTTCAGTTATGTATTACCGTGAGAGTCCTTGTGCAGTCTTTGGGTATAGTCTCATTCTGGATGTACGCAAGCTTGTTATCAGTCATGTTAGGTGGGACACATGCATGATCATACCGATCAATGATCTCAACAACCTGCAGTCAGTCAGCATAAATGAAGTCAGAAACTGCCAGTGTGTGTGTGTATGTTAACACAATGTGTAAAAGATACTCAGCGCCATACATCTTGTGCGGCTAGTAGCGAAACGACACCAACTGGGACAAAGACGACGCCGACAAGGAAAAACACCGAGACAACCTGCATAACACAAGACGAAACATCTGTGAGCTGCACCAGCACGCGCACTGTTGTATTCTACAACGTAATCTCTGGAGGCACCATGCTTACCCATTTTGGAGTAAGGATCGGCTTGCAGGCCGGCAGCTCTTGCTGCGTGAACTTGGAATCTGCGCATAATAACCCAGGAGTAAGAATTGGCTTGCATGCCAGAAACACAAGCAGCACCGCAAGGTTAGGAGTTACGCTAAGCAACCACTTCATCCACATATCTATACCAAACGTTCAAGATGTCTGTTGCTCATACACAAGCAAACAATGCGATCAGGTAACTAGACACTAGACTGTCTCTTTTTCCTCGATTAAACGAGCTATAATTGCTAGATTAAGCTCTGTTGCTTAGCATGAACTAAGCTTATAGTGTAATTTAGTTGCTATCCAAACTTCGTGAACTTGGAACCTGAGCATAGGGATTCAGGAGTAAGAATTGTCCTGCATGCCAGAAACACAAGCCACACCACTAGAACAGGAGCTTCCATAAGTAACCACTCCATCCACACTTCGATCCCAAAGGTTTAGTGATATCCATAGCTCATACACTAAACCGAATGCCCTTTTCTGGATAAAACGAGCTATAATCACTACCACCGTGGTGCCAACAGTAAGAGAGAACACGACCACCTAGCAAGCAAGCATCCCCGAGCCCCCCGCGCTAACTAACCAAACCAAATCGGCGCCGCCAAGAGCACCAGCAGCACACCGCATCCATTCCGATTCCCGGGCGGCAAGGAGAGTCATATCAAGCAGGGGAAGAAAGGGGCGGCGGCCAGTCCAGGCCAGATCTCACTCACACTTGGGCATCCTGGTGTTGTTCCGCCTGGCGGCGTCCCCATCGGCCCCGGATCCGCCGTTGCTCGTGCCGGCCGCGACGGCGTCCATCATCATCCCCCCGCCGCCGCCACGCCGCTCCGGAGCCCGATAAACCCCGGCCCGCCCCGGCGGCGCCGCAGGAAGAGGCGGCCTCCGCTGGGGATCCGGGGAGGGAGGGAGCTCGCGCCGGTCTCGGGGCCGGGCTCGCCGCTGGCCCTCGGGGAGGGAGGGAGGGAGCTTGCTTGGGTGGGAAGGAAGGGAAAGCGCGGAGTGATTCTGACCCCTCGGGGACGGGGGAGGGGGGATGGAGGAGGGACGACGGCACGGCTGCGGTGGGTGCGGGGTGGGCCGGTGGGGTGTGTCCGTGTCGAGCCGGGGGAGACGACCCTGGGGGTCCCGCTGGTCAATGAGAGCTTGACTTCTCCGTCTCCGCTTTCACTGGCTGGTTTCTTCTAGAAACATCACTTTTGTTTCTGGTTTGTTTTGTTTTGGGGTTTCTTTTAAAAAAATTGAAGGTAGATTATGTTCTACTCCCTGGTGTCAACAACGCTCTTATATTATGGGACGGAGGGAGTATCTTATATAGTTTTGAGGATTTCTGATGACTATTTTTATTACTGATCGAGACGGCTTCTACGATGAACTAATGAGATAGGCAGACTGTTTTAATGCATTTTTGTCTTTCGCATTGCGTATGACTCGCAAGATTGCATGAATCGACAATCCCCGAGATAGACACGTTATCCGATCTAAATGGTGCTCGGTGAAGAACCGGGGAAATTTGGTCGGCCCGTGGAGTTCTTTCTTCTTCTTTTACCCAGAAATTAGTTGCTTGAATATGAAAGTATTTTGGCTAGCATATCTGCTCTTTGGTTAGTGCGAGAATTCGACTCTACTCATGTTATAGTCGCGGATGTACTTATTTATACTATCCTAAGGAGGAGGGATTAACTAATGGAGTGCATTTTGATGGCAATTCTAGGCAAGACCTTTAATCACATGGTTTGTTTCTGGCAACCCAGAATTCTTTATCTTGGCGTAGATTGGTGTGTTGGGACGGATGATGCGAAAAAGCTTTTTTTTGTTTGACCCGCGTCGACAGGTGCCAAACCATCTAGGATGAGTCAAACAAGCGGGAAGGGCCTCCTGGTAATATCCGATATACTAATGGTTCGCCATATTAGTATCTACTCCCTCTGTACCGAAATACATGTCGTTGGAGTAGCTGAAGTTCAGCTACTCCAACGACATGTATTTCGGTACAGAGGGAGTAGATAGCACTTATATGTGATGTCAAATCATTTTTTTGAGGTTTGGTTGTGGTAGCAATCGAAATGGTTGTTTCAACCGGGATGGCCTTTTTCTAAAACTTAAGATGATTTATTCTCACAAAGAGGTACGCACGCCATGTCACTCTCGTGGGGTGGCTTGAGCGGCAATCCTTGTCGTCTCTGGTGGTGTCATGAATTAGGGGGTGTTTCTCACATCGGTCCATTGGTTATGGGCTGGGCCGAGGACCCATCAAAGACTGATGAATGGGCCATGATGGCCCTGGTCCTCGGCGTAATCAAGATGAAGAACTCCTGGAGGCTTGGCGTACACTTCAAGCGTATTTGAAGGATTAGCGTGTTTATCCCTAAATTGTAACCGACCATGTGTAAACCCTAGGTACCCCCGGTGTCTATATAAGTCGTGGGGTTTAGTCTGTAGAGACACGCGTACACCTTCGCAACGTTTAGAGCTTACAACATCCTCATACGATCTTGAGGTAGATCAATCTGTACTTTGCACCCCATCACAATCAATATATAAGGGCATGACACAGGGGTTTACCTCATCAAGAGGGCCCGAACCTGGGTAAAACATCGTGCGGCGAAGGCAAGGCAGGGCGCGCGGGTGAGCTCCGGCCTTGGTGGCCGAAGTGCGGGGCGTAGGCAAACGACATAGATTGAGCGAGGGGAGGGGTAATGGGGAGAGGAGCTCACCGTGGAGCTCATGGCGGGTTCAGTGAAGGCCGGGAAGGCTTGACGGCGACACTATCGACGGCGGTGGCCAGCGGACAAAGACGAGGAAGACCGACGAGGGCGGCGCGATGCGGCGGCTTGGCGAAGTGCCCTTCAGTGGGGATGATTAGCACGACAATGCGGATCTTCTGGCCATCTTATGGCGTGTGGAGGCTTCTGGCCACGGGATCGATGTGGACATGGCCACGACTGAGCTCGGGCAAGAGCACAATCGGTGATGGCGAGTGAGGGAGTGTGGGAAAGCAGGGGTGCGGGGGTGCAGGGGGTCGAGGGGGACTTATAGATGTCGGGGAGGCAGCGGATGGCCGGCACGTGGCCACGCCCGTGCGTGCGGCGTCCACCTCACCTCTGGTGAACAAAGGTAGGGGACGACCCGCTGGGTGGGCTGAGCTGTATACTGTAGCAACAGGCCGAAATGCACAGTGTAGTTTTCCCCTTTTATTCTTTTCCTTATCTCCTAATTAATATAGCTATGTTTTATAATTACTTGAGGTGAAAAATAGATTTTGTTGATCATGATATTTGACATATAAATACTATTTAATGTAGCAATGACATACACAAGCTTTTGCAATATTTGGAAATGCATAAATATTTGTTTATTCCAAATCTGCCTATTTAAATACTATTGGTCCACATTAATTGTTGCTGGAGTCAAATTACAATTCCCAGTGAGTTTAGTTCCACTTGGAAAATTGCTTAGGGATTTAATCAGATGATATGAACATTTTTAAATGACAATTTGGAAAATATTTTTGTTTTCTTATTTCTAAATTTGAATTTGATAGTTGAATTAATTCTTCATTTAAATTTAATAATGTTAATCATGATGACATGGCATCATTAGGGTGAGTTCATTGTAACTTAATTATAGGAGCGTACATTGTACTAGTGATTAGTATTGTTCCCAGGTGAATGTAGTTCTTTCTACATCATTAAAGCATCACAGCTAATTATTGACGTTTTCTACTACACGTAGACATCATATTTTGAATTTTTCTTATAACTATAGAATTCAACCTTCGTACCAAAATCTCCAAGGCCAGTCCTTTGACTACAAATATAGTCAAATCATACATAACCCTTGACTCCCGACATTCTTCAAACGACTCATTTGGGAGATTAGCTATAAGTCAACAAGTTCATATGACTATTTAGTAATTCAATATCCGTGTGGTCCCACTGCATCCTTTATCTTACTTTTTAATCAACTTAAATAGTTAAAGCACATTTCTACGACACCTTTCAGAAGGTTTCACTTGCAGGATGACGATATTTACAAAATACCAAAAAAAAGGCAGCGCGGTGCACATAGCTCCCGCTTGCGCAGGGTCCAGGGAAGGGTCCGACCAATTCCAAGGAGCATTCAAAATTATATTCATGATAAAATGAAAATTGAGCATAGTATTGAGGTATGTTTTTCTATATACACAGTATTGGAACACAGTATTTAGCAGTGCTTCATCTTGTAATGTATGTTCCTTTTCTTCTTCTTTTAACAATAGGCCAAACTGAAACCTTCAAGTATTGTCTCAAAATTTCTCCAAGAATGATTGAAGATTCAATCCTAACTATGAGAACATATGTAGATGACATCTTGCAAGTACTTTGCCGCAATCCCAAAAGGATATTAATTTCTTCTCCATTATCCTCCATATTTAAGAATTTCTTCTTAGAAATACCAATACAGGCAATTGTCGATCCGCCAATACTTCAAACTCTCTTTTAAGAACTCATAAGGCATCTGGTGATCAAATTCACCGAAAGTGAGGACGACATTTATTCTTTCAACGAGCAACTGAAACATTGTACCAGCTTCTAGGTCCTAAAAGGATAGAACTACCAGGTGCAAGCATCACTCCAAATCACAATGATCAGGAGTACAAGTATATTGGAGACATTGGTATCACAAAAGGTACAAGTTACTCTGTTTGTCATCATTTTACTAGCTCTCCCTTTTTTACTAGTTCAACTAACTTTGTTCATCAGTTACAAAAAGAATTGTATGACCAGTTGTTCTCAAAAGGACAAAGCACCTTCTCAAAACTACAACAGAAATTCTCATAGAACAACTTCGACTTCGAAACTCCTATTGTATCTCCTTATTGTATTTGACACCTACTTATGTTAAATTGCGTATGGGTCAATTTTTAAAAAAAGATTGGTGACCTGCTTACATGTATAAAAGTTGGTATCACTACTAGTTATCTTTTATTAATCCAGTTCATTTCTAAGAGCTACTTATTTATGCAACCATTTTTTAGGCACACACCCTGAGTTACAATGGAATTCAAGATCTCAAATTGAGAGAAAATCATCTGACTGTTCCTCCAACTAGTAGCAGAATCTTGAGTAACAGAAGCAGCTCAAGTGAAAAAATCCGTTCTAAATAGGTGATAAGTGGGGGCTATCCTTAAACAAATGTCTATTTGGTTCTAAAACGAACCCTCATGCAGTAGTAACATTTTGTGGAGAAGCTTCGTTTCATATTTTTGAAGAATTAGCTCTAGATCCAGTTGCCAATTCTAGCTACAGTTTTGGTAGTATGGTACATCTATCTCCAGATCCAAGTGCACTACTGTAACACGCCAAATATTTAACCCAAGTTTTTACAAAATAATAATAAAATTTTGATAGAAATAAAATTTTCTTGTATAATAGTAATATGCTCAAACTGGTCCGGAATTGGAAAGTGGATGTCGTGATAAAAAGAATTTAATGGCCAAGACGGGTTTTTGCACAAAAATGATCTATAGGCATCACAGGATCTCACATAATTTTTTTGCATTTCTAGATTTTTTTTGACATAGTTTTAGTGCAACAGGAGCAATTTAGGGTTTTCAAAATGCCATTAAAGAATTTTTTTTGGGAAATTTTATGATGAAAATATTTCCTACTGAATTTCACAAGTAATGAAGGAATATTATCAATACCAATAATTTTTTCAAAAAGTTTTGTGTATGGAGGAGAGGAATTTGGAAAACGGGAAACAAAAATGACTGGAATTTATTAAAAGACCTACAACCCTATTTTCTTTTGCTCAAACAATTC